ATTTTGGAGTAGCATACTCTGATCCCCCTCAACAGACTATACTTAAGGACAGTGAGGAAGTTAAAAGAAAATTCACTTTGCACGGTGAAAGAAAATGGATATTATTGACATAAATGAAGAGTCTATTTTTTTCACAAAGAAAATGCTATACGTCTGTCCATGCGCTGGTGATATTGTCAGTTGGGTACTCTACTGTGTTAAACATATGTGTACTTGAGATTCCATTTCACTATCTTTTTTCAGGATGCAGGAGAGTCTTCAGATTGTTTACACATCATGGGAGAAAATTAAACAATGTAAAGATACGGTCCTGGTGAGGTGAAAGAATCCTCCATGTCAGTCCAAGCCTTCTTCTTTTTAAAAAAATTTTTTTAAATGTTTATTTTTGAGAGAGAGACAGAATGCAAAAGGAAGAGGGGCAGAGAGAGAGGGAGACACAGAGTCTGAAGCAGGCTCCAGGCTCTGAGCTGTCAGCACAGAGCCTGACGTGGGCTCCAACTCACGAGCTGTGAGATCATGACCTGAACGGAAGTCGGATGCCCAACTGAGCCACCCAGGCGCCCCAAGTCCACTCCTTCTGACAGCCGGTTTGTTCAGGCGTGTTTGAAGAAAGCAGAACAGTCACCAGAGTGTCTGTTGCAGTGAAGATAATTATTCAAGGAGCATTTTTATTGGCCCCTTCTAATGAATTAATAAAATGAAAAGAAAAAATAGTTCTTTTTTCTATAGGGACCTTAGATGAGCTTTTAAGAAATGGGTGAGACTAAAATCCAACAATTGTAAATCTAAAAGAGTTAGGAATAACGAAAAGGCCATGCTTTTCATATGCCTGATTTTGAAGGAACAAATTACTTGCAAAAACAGTGATTCATGTGATTTGAAATACGTGTACTCGAAGATTCCCAGAGTGCTGCCTAAAAAGTCCCTGGTGCATTAAAAGCATCTTACTGTGTTTATTCCACAAACTTTTACTGCTGAAAATGAGATACAGTTTTATCTACTTGTGAAAAGTAAAAGTGCAACTTAATGATTCGTAAACTTGTGCTGAAAAGCATCTGAGTGCCGAGCTCTGGGGGTGAAAAATGAAGAGCCTGCCGAGAGGAGCTTACGAACACTAAGGGGTAGGGACCAGCACACGCAGCAAGGGCTGATGCCCCTACAGGAGTGAACGGGGCTTGTCCAGGTGCAAAACGAGGTGTGACTAATCCCGGGCTCTGGGTTAGAAGGCAGGCAGGAAGCTTCAGAGGAGGGAAATGCAGGTGGGGATGTGCTGATCCGAGATGATGACAATGAGAGAGTGCCCGTCCGAGAATTGTCGGGGAGGAAGGCCTGTGATCCTTCCAGCCGGACTTAGACTCAGGTTGCCCTGAGATAGATGACCGGCAGAAAATCAAATTTAATAGGCATGTGGACTGGACTCCACACAGGCGAGATTCCAAAGACCCTGAGGCCACAGGAAGCTTACAGGAGCTGAGAGGAGAGGGGTCTGCAGATCCAGAGGGGAGGCCTTTAGCAGGAAGCTGAAAGGAGATGATTTGAAAATCATTGAAAAACAAAGGCTGTCCTCTGATGCAAATGAGTTTCTTAGGTAAAGAGGAGTCTCTGTTTATAGCGCAAGTTCCTGGTACTGGCTCTTTTCAATGCAAATTGAGGCTGTTGAGAGAGAGACAGATATCTTTTCCTGCATCTGCTGGGTTTTGATTACTTCGAACTTGAAATAGTCTTTATGCCAAAGTGGTCTATTTTGTGTTTACACGTATGGGTATGTTGTTAATTCTTGTCAACTTTTTTTTAAGTTTAGCAAACCCTACACCTATCTAACTCATTGCATACTTAATAAGGTAGTAATAGCTGTTAAGTATTTTGAGATTCTGCATTCTTAAAACATGAAAATTTTTTCTTCCTCTCCATGTTAGTAAGTTGAAAAACGAACTTTCCACTTAACTGAATGAAAGAAATTTGACAGTTTCAAATTAGAATGCAGTGCCTTTTCTTTAACATCTTGTAAATAAACCAAGTGAAGGACCTGAAAACTGCATATATTTGATATTTAACATTGTAATTAATGCATTCCTTCCTTCAGTTAAGTAACATTTATTCAAGCTACCTAATAATGATTTGTAACTATTACAATAAAATTTGTGCTTCATAACTTCATTTACTCTGCTTTGAGATAATTTCAAGTTTTAATTAGGAAGGACTATTTTCTAACTTATTTCTGTTGAATTCCAATTTATAGTGACAAATGAAAAAATTTAAATAGGCAATCATCCAAATATCTACTTTAAGGTATTATGTTTTGTGAAAGGCTTAAGCTCTTTTGTACCATCTTGCATTTCATTTGGAAATAGCTTTTATTTCAGTGACATACTATTCATATTGAAGAGTAATCTTTAAAAGTATGAATGATGTATTATGTATATTCCCTTAAGTGGCTATGAATTAGGGTTTTTTTTTCCTGAGTTATGTAGCAGTAGAACTACGTTTTCTCTGTGTTGCTCAATTAAATTCATTGCGTATTCTACTTTCTCTAGATACTGTAGAGGCCAGTTTTAGGCAAGAGGCTTGAGCAGTGGACACTCCAGCAAGGCAGAAGGCCCCAGAGTGACCACCACGCTGAACACGAAGAGGCTCATTACGTGGCCATAGACACTAACCAATGGGCTGGTGATGGCCCAGCACAGTTACCAGAATAGGGAAAATTCCATAAGCTCCCGTCCTTCTCCCCCCACCCTGTAACTATAACCCGTCACCACCACCTCCTGGAAGACAGTCTCTCGTCTGCTGTCCTGCCTGCCCCCGCTTTCTGCACTGTCTGCATGAAACTTCCATCTCCTTTGCTCTGCCTCGGGTGAATTCTTCCACTGCCTGCGCCGCTGGCCCCCATCTAATCAGCACACACCAGAATTGCTGCAGTCAAACTAAAATAACACCTTTAATAACGTGTCTGTTACCTGCTTTCTGAGGCTTCAGCCTGGCAGTGTATTAAGCAAGCCCAGGGCACGACAGGAAAAGGAGAGCCTCTTGGATGGCTCCAGTGCCCACTTCAGCTTGGGGGCAGGCAGGTCTCCGAGAGTAGCAACCTTTAAATGCCAGAGTCCCAGCAGGGGGCGTGAGCCAAAAAACAGACCGCGGTTGTGAAGCTGCAGTAGTGGAAACCCCGTGCATTGTACCCAATGGACTCAAAGCAGTTCTGGCTTATTGGTGAGAGAATGGGGACTGTTCACCGGCAAGAATGCCCTTTTAACCTTACAGAGATCAAACTATTGGTTTAGGCTTTTGTTTTGTTTGTTGACACTGATAGACTTTATTAATAAAAAATTGAGCAAATATCTAAATGGTTATATGTACTATAAATTACATGTATAGCATTGAATAGTTTTCTGAAGAGGATCATAGAAACCTCAGTCTGAGTCCCTGATGTCCAGAACTCTGTGCCCTCTGTTTCCATTTTGTTACAGAGACTCTGGGTTAATGTCATTTTCTATTTCTGTTGTTAAGATATTAATGAAGAATGTTGCCTCCAGTATATTGGTGTAGATACCTAAAAACCTTTAGTTGATTTGTAATCTAGCATAATCCATGATCACAAGGTACAGAAACAAAAATGCTGTGAATAAAAAAATACCACAGTGGCTTCAACTCTTAGAAGTCATGTGTTATTTCTTAAACCGGATGGTGGGTACACAGGTGTCCATTATATGAGTGTTTCTGTAGTTCTGCATGTCTTAAATGTTTTGTAATAAATTCTTAAAGAAGTTAAATATATTTTTAATTTATTATGAAACACTTAAGACATGCAACTATAGAAAAACTCCTATAATGAACACCTATGTGCCCACCATCCAGTTTAAGAAATAACACATGACTTCTAAGAGTTGAAGCCACTGTGGACCCCTCCCTTCCTGGAGGTCATCTGTATCCTGAACTTTCTAGTCCTTTATTTTTTATTTTTTAATTTTCTTAAGTAAACTCCATGTCCAGCATGGGGCTTGAACTCATGACTCTGAGATTGAGTCACACATTCCACCAACAGAGCCAGCCAGGAGCCCCAACGAACTTTCTCTGTTCTTCACAGAGATCCAGAGACTCCTAATCATGAACCATGTTTCCCTGTTACAGAATCAAGGTTTAATCTTCAGTTTGGTATTCAGAAGTCTTTCCCATTCTGGCTCGGATCTCGGTGGGTCTCCCTCCTCGAGCTCACCGGCCCTGCATGTAGCCATGGTCTGACCGCCATGCAGCCAGCGGTGCCTCAACAAGGCCTCAGAAGCTACCGTTTCCATTTCTTCGTCACCTTTTCATGAACATCCTCCCTTCATCTCATTTGCTGAAATCACACACATTTGCTTCTGCTCCACAGTTGACAGTTCTTTAATATAAAATGTACCATATTTTCATAAAGTTTGCATTGCGTCTCATTACAGTTGTGTACATGGCTGTTTCTCCCACTACACAGTAGGCTTTTTGAAGGAAAATGTATCTGGGGCACCTGGGTGGCTCAATCAGTTAAGTGGCCAACTTCAGCTCAGGTTGCGATCTCATGGTTCGTGAGTTCGAGCCCCACATCAGGCTCTGTGCTGACAGCTCAGAGCCTGGAGCCTTCTTCGGATTCTGTGTCTCCCTCTCTCTCTGACCCTCCCCCGCTCATGCTCTGTTTCTCTGTCTCAATAATAACTAAAACATTAAAAAAAAAATTGAAGACGTATCTTACAAAAATTGTTTCAGGTGTTGTAAGCGGTCAGTCAATGCTTGTACTTTTCTCATGAGGATATCGATCATTCTGTTTCACTTCATGACCGTTAACCTGCTGTGTACTTAACTACTCTAAACATGTGCCATTTATGGTCTCTGATGCTCCTAAGAGAAATCTAATTTTTTAATCATGGATAGAGATATTCGTGACATTGTCGATTCTTTGACAGTGTTCTGTTTGGTTTATTACAGTAGTACATGTTTTGAAATATTAAAGTAATGTTTCCTTTTGTTTTATCTTTTAGATACTGCTATATGGAGATTTGCCAAAAAACAAAGAAAACATAATATATTTAGCAAATCATCAAAGCACAGGTTTGTATTTCATTTGCATGAAATTTAGGTTTTCTACAGAAAGTAGATGGGCTTGCAAAGGAATGTTTTTATGTCTTTAAACGGAGTGTTTTGTTAAAACATGAATGTTCAATGCAGACGTTACATCATGATCTTATATTTTCACAATTTTACTTCTTTTGAAAGTCAGGAGTATGAAACTGAATTTTCCTAAACTTACCTTTCTCCCTCGGATGGGTGTAAATAAGCCCTTTTCATTCATTTATTCTGTTTCTTTGAATAGTTCTTTAAATAATGTATGCATTTGTTTTGTAAGTTATGTTTCTGGAAGTAAAACTGGGCCAAAGTGTATACACATTGTACATATTTGACTGTTAAGGTGCAGAAAGGTTGTGCTAATAAGTGACTGCCCCTCCCCTAAAGACACCACTGTATTAATTTCTAACATCTGTAGTTCCTTTTGCCTCGTCAAATGTTTTGGTTTAATTATAGCTTGCTGTTCTGTCCAAAGAAACACAGAAGACTCTGGTCTTTGATTGTAGTGCAGTATATACTTTAAGACACTTTTTTAAAAAAACGTATTTTGAAATAATTACAGATTCTCAACAAGTTGCGAGAATAGTCTACGGACTCCCATGACCTCTTAATCAGTTTCCCTCAGGGATGACGTGTTATGTAGCTGCTGTACACTGTCACAACCCAAGAAATCGACACTGGTTAAGGCACTTTTTAGTTCTACAGATATTTCAGTCCAACGAAAATCCCACTTGTTTTTATCAAACCTGTAACCACTTCTGATGCGCGCTCGCTAAAGGCCATTTTTATTGCTTTAAAAAGGACAGGACCTGGGAGCTCAGAGCCCCAGCACGCGACGGGGGCTGTGCCGTAACGGGGATCACGTCGGCCGCGGCTCTTTATCGTCTTCCTGTCCACTGTGTCTCTTTGTGATTTTGTTGCTTTTATCACTACCCCTGCCCTAGGCGAGGAAGAGGAGGGCGAACGGGTTGAAATGTATTTTTCTCAATTTCACTCATTGATGATGTGCTCTGTTTTTACGGGACAAGGGTTGGCAGGAGTTTTGAGGTAGCTGCGCAGCCGGGCGGCGGGCGGCGGCTGCCCTAGCGCTGGGCCGCCGAGCAGGCCGGGGACGGCGGCCGTGTCCCGGGACGGGCGGGCTTCCATACCGCCGCCAGCCTGCTCCTGCTGCCAGTGGCACGTTTCTCCTGGGCCTCCAGGCTCCGGCTAGGAAGGACTCAGGGGCCCGGCGTAGGGAGCGGCTCTTGGTAGCCCAGATTTCCTTTATATTGACCAATATGTTGGTGTATTTTATTAAAGCTTTCTGTGGTTTAAGAAGATTCCCTCTTCAGATTCCTTGTTCAGGCTCCCTGCCATCTCCCCCTTCCCCGGCTTCAGCGTGGGCATGGTTGCATTGGCGGCCTGCGCGGCTGGCTGAACACATTTCTGGGGCGGTGGGAGGAGGCGTAGCGACAAAATGAGAACCGCCCCTGCCGTGCGGGTGCTCCCTGCGTGCTGGCCTTTAGGCCATCACGTCAGCGGGAGAAGACCTTTGAAAGAAAACCGCTTTGTTTTGTTTCCTACTTGTATTTGGAGCTAGAAAGTAATGTGGGAAGTGTGAGCTCCAGCGTCCACCACAACGGCCCTGAACAAAGGCCTCACTTGTCAGGCTGGAGAGCCATTCCCTCATCCCCTCGCCCGGCCTCCCGAGGCCCCAACACGTTGTGGTAGCGGGCCCTGTGCCGGTTAGCCTTCAAGACTGAGAAGGCTGCTTTTCTCGGTGCCTTTTTAAAACCCACAACCTGGGAACATAACTAGATAGTGACTTTAAATTACATTAAGATTGCCAGTTTTAGTCAGAAGATGATGGAATATGCCCAGAAAAACGAGCACATTCAAGTTTGCATATAGTTCTGTGTTCCCGAGGCCCCTGAGACTTATCCATCCAGACTCACAGCTCATGGGCCTGGATACTCTTTTAAAACCCTTCTGAGTTATTAACCACAAATGAGTATCTAAAAACGTGATGAGCAGAAAGACTATTTCCGCGTTCACCTTAGACTTTCCAGAGCACCATCTACGAGACTGGCCAGAATCCCAGTCTCTTCTTGGACTGACCTCCAGACAACTGACGTTTGAATTAGCTTCTATTCTCCATTGTTTTCACTTGATGTGTGCTTGCCATCTCCATGTTCTTAGTGTCTTAACTTCTCCACAGGGAGGATATAGTGGCTATTCCTCCTTCCCCTCCTCCTGTTTAAATATCTGCTTTTGACACTGTTTGCTTTAATCCCATGGAAAAACACCCTTCTCTTGGTTTAGGTGACATTTGTCTTGACTGACCACACATGTGGTGAGTAGATGATCATAAGAAGGCTTGGGTTTGTGGTCAGACCCTTGCTCATAGGCTGTTCTGCACCAGCTCATGTGACGGTACGCACATGACCCAGCTTCTTAGCCTTGCCCGTAGTGGGTGGGCGATGTCTCCTGCTCAGGTACTTGGGCGATTTACATAGGCCAGCCCCTGGTTTCCCAGCCTGCCTGGGTCATTGGGGGGGGCGGGGGAGGACATTTCACAGCAGGGGGTGGGAGTGTGGGGGCTGGGGTGATGATGATGATGATGATGATGATGAAGACGATGACAGCAGCGGCTAACGAGTGAGCGATGTGCTGAACACACAGGTGCTTCTGCCCGGTATCTCTGTGACCTTGGACGTGTTGTTACATAATAACGTAGGTGAGGAAAGCCTGACTCTTCTAGGTGTCCCTCCTCACTGCCCTCTCCTCTGTAACAAGTTCATGGGAACGATGACACTGCCTTGGCTGGATCACTGTTGAGGAATTCCTACATAGCCACATTTCTTGATGTCTTCATGAGTGTATTCATGCCAGAACACAACATGTGAATCGTTAACTGTAAAGGTCCCTGTTACCGTCTCCACTTTCAGTAACTCCATTGCTATCTAGAAACCCTCTCAGAAACCGAGTTGAGAATAAACAGGAAAAGTAAAGGTCATCGAGTAGCAAAAATTGATGCGCAAAGTGTGTATGTTTTGACTACGTCAGTTAGGTCTTAAGCTTTTCCACTAAAATTTGCAGAAGTTTAAAGTCCTAGCCTAGGAGAGCTAATACCGACGTGACCATTTCACACTCCATCTTCGGAGTTCTCGGGAGATGCGATCTCGGCCGTGTATAGCATGGTTATTTCAATATAAAAAATGTGTTAGGAAAATCCACACTTAAAAAAGTAATTGTTCCAGGAAAAGATACCCTATCTTGTTTTTAGCCTTTGATTTAGAATCCCAAATACATCCCAGGAGGTATTACAGCCTTGGAACCATACATTTAGTTCCCAGAGTTTATTTACACTAAGTACCGTTATAACAAGCTGGATCCTGGTTTCCAGGACATAATTAGAAAGAGAGGTGTTTATCGGTATTCTTTAGGTGATTTTAGTGGGAAGGAAGGGGATTGAGAGTTGGCCTCCATAGGAAGTTACATGCTGGACGTGGCTTTTAGGGGTCCTTGCTCAGAGGGACCAAGGAGAGCTGTAATAGAATTCATGCATGTAATTGTAACTTAAATCCTCGAGAAAGAACTTGTGAATGAGAAAAAAAGATTAAAAAGAGATTTATAATGGTAAAATGTTTTTCCACAAGAATAATTTTTGGAGTTCCAGTTGCTAAGTGTTCGGGGTATCCTCTCTGGTTACCTATCTGGGTTCTGGGTATCTATCGTTTTTGGTATAAACTAACGCTAACTCCTTTACTTCCCAGGCTTTTATTTGCTCTAGATTTTATTTTAACATTTTCCCCTCTAATTCAGTCCTGTCGTTCTGGCTCCTGAGGCCCTGGTTACACTTGTGATAGTAGGACTCTCTATTTTTGAGAGATTCTTACCAATTTGTTTTTTTCAAACATCCCATCCTCTGGTTCAGTTTTCATTCTTCTCAAAGAGACGGGGTACTTTGTAGCCCTTTGCTTCCCAAGCCGAATCTCTGGGCTTCAAGACTTTCTACTCTTTGCCCCCTTCACTTCGCTTCCCCTGACCCTTCACACCGTGTCCTGTTTACCATCTTCTGCACACGCTTGCCCGGGTTCTGGCTCATTGCTTCGGCAAGGGCTAGTCCTGTTGGGAATTTCTTCTCTCTTCCCAGAAGTTTTGTCCATCACACTCGTATCTTCTTATTTTTATTTTTGTGACCTTTTAGTAGTGACTTACCTGTGTAATTAGAGTTACTAGCAGCCTGGGTCTGTGTCCTGTGGTTCTGTGAGGAGCACTCGTCTGCCCAGCACAGCCGTGAGCTTCAGCCGGTGTTCGTTCTGACATTACAGCCTAGGATTGTGTCCTGAAATCCATCAGTCAGATACAGTGTCCTTGGCTTTTGTTGTTCACGTACAAACACATATACAGTACTTAATTGCGCTTAACCATTTCCTTTGAACTTTGTCCTGTTTTTTAGACTAAGAATTAGAGGAGCTTTATTCCTCGTTCACACCACGTTTGTGTCACTTGTGATTTGTGACTTCTTTGCATTTTATCTCTGAAATAAAAAGCCTTTCAAGAAATGCAGGGAAAAAAACACCAACAAAGAAAACAAAAAACTCGAATTTGTAATTTTTAAATGTCTGCATTTGTTACAAAGTAATTTTAGAGTTCTAATCATATTTTGAAAGTATATTCCTAGTATAATCTTGTGAAGACGCTCTTTCCGTTTCTGTGAAGGGAATGCCGCAATTTACAAATGGGTCATTTATGCACTAATTGGGTTGTGTCTTTGCAGTTGACTGGATTATTGCTGATATTTTGGCCATCAGGCAGAATGCGCTGGGACATGTACGCTATGTGCTGAAAGATGGGTTAAAGTGGCTTCCCCTGTACGGGTGTTACTTTTCTCAGGTAACTTTTCCATACTCTTTTCATTATATACGTAGCTTATAAAAACTGTAGATTTGGAAAGCTAACATGCACTTAAATGTATAGGTTGTTTTGTTTATTTTTTAGGTTTAATAACTTATTCCAAATGGAAGTCATTTTATTTGGCATTTTTAATGGTGCGTATTTATATACATGCCTGATCACCCAGGTGGTTACACAGCATAAATACAAATGTACAAAAATCCAACAACTAGGAAAATTTAAAGGCACAGAATTTGGAAGATGATTACCTTAAACTAATAGTAAAAATTAATCACGATCTGTAAGATATTAAAAAACAGGAGCTGTATATGCAAAGTGCTTAGCATGAGTGTCAGATACATAATAAATATTTAATAAATGATACTTTCCAAATATTTAATAAATGATGTTTACTTCTCAAGCCTTAACTTTGGTCAAGAGACTTACCTGCTCAAAAATGTGTGCTTCTCAGCTGTGTTAGGTCCTAGCTCCCCCGCAGGGCATTCACAGTCCACCCTGACCTATCTCTCTGGAACCCACCTTGCTTTTCTAGCCTGAATTGGTTTCCCCCTCCCTGTCCTCCTTCAGGCTGTCCCTTTAGTTTGAGGAAGATGCTCTCTGCCTCCGAGGCCCAGTTTGGATGCTATCATGAAACCCTTCCTGCGCCTGGACGTTTCCTCCGCCCTGCTTTTGTCTTAGGCTGTCTTTATTATTACACTCCTCAGATTCTCCTGTTATCATTCTTGTATACATGTTTTACTGCACCAATAATTTTTAAGTTCCTTAAGGGAAGATACCTTTTGTAGTTTCCAAATACCTGGGAAAGAGCCCAGTTATTTTTGAAATAAAACAGACTTTAATAAGCAAGTTAAACACGTATGTGAAGAATAGACATAAGGTCTCTCCCACCTCGGGGAAATTTTACTCCTGGTATATGCATCCTGTGGCTTTTAATTCGAATGAATTGGTAAAGAGGGAGTGTGTTCCCATCAGTCCTGTCTGGACAGACAGCGATGGGCATTCTGCGGAGCACCTGAGGGTTTTCCGCTGCACGTGGGCGAACCAGTTGCTGCCTGGAAGGCCACCCCACCGCCTCCCCGCTTTAGGTCTTCCCTTCCTTGCTTCTTCCCGTGTGTTTCCTGTTCTTCTGGGTTACGACAGCCCAGTTCAGCCAGCAGGCTTATTTTACAGATCAGTTCAAATTAGCACAAGCGAGTACAAATAATATGGTGGCTCGATAAAAAGTTTTGATGAAATACATGGTACACTTACCGAGCTTAAGTAAGTTACCTTCATGTGCGTGAAAGTGCCTGTGTCCGTCGGCCAGGGCTGCCCCGACACAGTACCACAGACTGTCTCAAATGACAGACATTTCCACCGCATGGCCCTCGAGGCTGGGGGTTCCCGATTCACGTGTCGTCAGGATTGCGTTTTCCTGCCGCCTCTCTTGGCTTGGAGTTGGCTGCACTGTGTCTTCCTGTACACGTACCTGTCGTGTCCTGATCTCCTCAGATAAGGCACAGTCCCGGGGACTTACCCATAGGACCTCATCAACCTGGTTACTTTCTTAAATGCCCCACTCCACATAACATCACTTTGGGGGTTAGGGCTTCAACATGCAAATTTTGGAGGAACACAGTTTGTGCTCATAGCAGTGCTACATAAACATCTGTAGCTGGGTTGGTTTTAAAAATCCCTAAAGATCTGGGCACCTGGGTGGCTGAGTCAGTTAGGCGTCCCACTTGGGCTCAGGTCATGATCTCGCAATCTGTGGGTTCGAGCCCTGCATCGGGCTCTGTGCTGACAGCTAACTTTGAGCCTGGAGCCTGCTTCAGATTCTGTGTCTCCCTCTCTCCACCCCTCCCCTGCTCGCGCTCTGTCTGTCTCTCAAAGGTAAATGAACATTTATAAAAATTCCCAAAAGATCATGACTATTGACGTTTCGTGGACACTTTTAGTGATTGTGCATCATTGGAAAAATCGAAAGCTAAGAACTGTCTTACTGATCGAGTTTTTTATTTAAAAAATGTATTTTTGAGAAAGCATTTTTGTCAACAAAAATATATGTTCCTCTATTTTCTAGTACTCTGTAGCATGTAGTTTTTATTTCAGTTATGTTGGAACATAGGGGAATTTTCTGCTGAATGTTTATTAGATGGTAATATTTCAGTGTATTAAGAATAGTTTAATTCCTAGATGTAATTTTATACTTTTGGGAAGTAAAGTTACCTTTTGGGCCATTGGATATTTTAATACTAAATACCCTCCCCCCCCCATTTTTCCCATATGGAAGCATGGAGGGATCTATGTGAAGCGCAGTGCCAAATTCGATGAAAAGGAAATGAGAAAGAAGCTGCAGAGGTACATGAACGCACAGACTCCAGTAAGATTATGCTCGTTTTTCTTTTCCTTATCGACTCCAGTTTTTAATTTAAAAACTAAATTAGAGTTTAAGAACTGTTTTGAAAATATATTATTCCGTGGATAACAAACAATTGAGCTTTGTTTAGTCAATAAAAAGCCTCTGAGTACAGGTGAGCAGTTCTTGCGGGCCATGAGGAAGAGGCGGCAGCCGAGCCGGTCTTGCTGTGGGGTCGTCGGCAAGGTGCTCGGAGGAGCAGCAAGAAGGCTCGTGTCTGGCCGGGAACGGACGTCTGGGCCACACGCGGGACCTTGCCCTTGGGCTCCTCATTGGTTGTCAGGGTCGCGTGTAGTTGCAGAGGAAACAAGGTTTCTATGTGTCCATGTGAATAGTGGTTGCTTGTATAGAGTGAGTTACTTGAAAAGTCAGAAAGAGTATGAAGATCTGCAAATGAAGCATCATTCGGTGTAAATATAATTTGATAAAACTTTGCTCCCTAAAAAAGGATTCTCCATATTTTCTTCGAAGAATGTTAATTGCCGCCCAGTGGCTTTTCCCCAGCTTCATCCGAGGACGGAGGACAGCACCCTGACCACGGCGACACCTTGAGCGGTGTCACCAGCTCTGGGGAGCCCAGCTAGTGCGCCCCGCCGGCTCCCGTTTTCTCTCCGCCTTCCTTCCTCGCCAGGGCTCGTAGGCGACCCCCAGAGCTCATATTTAAAGCTGAGTTTCCACAGTCAGCTGACAAAGGCCCTGACATTCGTGGGTTTTGCTTTGTCTCGTTGTTTCAACCCACCGTATGAGAGTGCCGCCTGTGTGGGGAGGCCCCGGGGCGGAGCGTAAGGAGGTGACAGTGCTCCTCTCTCTCCCGCTGCAGACCGTCTGCTCCTCTGAACACTGGTACGTTTGCGAGAGTGTTTATAGATCTCCATAAACAGAAGAGATGGGCAATATGTATATTCACTTTTCAAAAAATGATTTAAAATGTCAGAATTAAGGTACCCTTGAGAGAGCCCCCCACTTCTCCCTCCGGCTGCCTGGATCTTCATGTGCCTAACCCATGAGTACAGTCCCCACTTTCCCACAGACTGTACAGATTTTTCCATGCTTTCCCCTAATTAACCCTTTCTTTTGTTTCAAGATGCAGTCCACTGTACCCCAGATCCAGTTAACACGTATGTTTTAAGTTGATTATACTTTTCGCGGCATGCGGTACTATATAGTTATTATCAAATCTGCTATTTCTGTGTTAATCTTCAAACTTTGTTTCTTTAAATATTGAGGGCATCATTTAAAAGATATATTGAGTCAGTATGTTTTTAGTGATCTCAGTATGTGAAGCCTTTTTTACTGCCAGTTCCTGCTCATGGTACTTTCTTTCCCTGTGTGCTTAGTTATCTTTTTGCTGCTGATTGTATTTGGAAAATTATTTGTAGAAATCACCTCAAAAGCTTAGAAAGTGTCTTCCTCCAAGGAATATTTGCATTTGTTTTAGCTGGGCCCCTTACGGCTTCTCTAGTCTGAGCCCACTGAAACCAAATTCTGACCTTGAGGTTAACTGGACCAAGGTTGCAAATCCGTGTGAGGCTGATTTTGCCCTCTGGTTTATTTTTGCCCCAAGAGTGTAGCCTCTGATGTTCCCTTCAGTCTTTTTCACTCTTTTTTTTTTTTTTTTAATGTTTTATTTATTTCTGAGACACAGAGAGAGACAGCATGAGCAGGGAAGGGGCACAGAGAGAGGGAGACACAGAATCTGAAGCAGCTCCAGGCTCTGAGCGGGCTGTCAGCACAGAACCTGACGCGGGGCCCGAACCCACGAACCGTGAGATCACGACCTGCGCTGAAGTCGGACGCTTAACTGACTGAGCCACCCAGGCCCCCCCCAACTCTTTTTCACTCTTAATAAAAGATCCATGAGCTTTGATTTTTATTCCCCTCACTTTTCAGTCTGTTAAAGCAAAAGTACATGATACACTTCTGCTTTACTGTGTTTGTGTTCATTTTAGTCTTATTATCTTGTCAGCTCTTTGATAGTTTTAAAATGATGTTGGGGCACCTGGGTGGCTTAGTCGGTTAAGCGTCCGACTTTCGCTTAGGTCATGATCTCGCGGTTAGTGGGTTCGAGCCCCGAGTCGGGCTCTGTGCTGACTGCCAGCTCAGAGCCTGGAGCCTATTTCAGTCTGTGACTCCCTCTCTCTCTGAGCCTCCCCTGCTCACGCTGTCTCTCTCTGTCTCCTAGAAATGAATCAAACAAACAAACAAACAAAAAGAGTGTTGGCTTTGAAATCCCATTTGTTGAATCTCAGATCTGCCATTTAAACTTTGTTACTTTGTACGAGTCACCTAACTTTTCTAAACTTGTTTTCCTTTTATGTTCAGTCTGTTCACAATCACTCAGTTGGGTACCTGGGATTAAGTAACACGTTTGAAAACAATGCCTGTTGTGTTAGTTTCCTATTACTGCTGTAACAATGACCACAAATTCGCTGGCTTAAATCACACAAATTTTGGCTGTGGCAGTGGTAGCAAAAGTACACAAGTAGGACCACACCAGACTAAGAAGTGTCTGTGCAGTAAGGGAGTCATTCACACAATGAACAAACCTACAGAATGGGGGAAAATACTTGGAAACCGCATATCTGATGTTAATTTCCAAAGTTAACCTGTAATTCACCAGCAATAAAGCCAGTAACCCAGTGAAAAAAATGGGCGAAGGACTTGAATAGACATTCATCCAAAGAAGGCCTACAAATGGCCGTCAGGCGTATGAAAAGGTGTTTAACCTCACTGGTCGTCAGGGAAATGCCAGTCACAGCACACGGACGTTAACACCTAACAGCTGTTAGCATGACTGCTCCCTAAAGTCAGCTCAGGATTGGAGAGGATTTAGAGAAAAGAGAACCCTTAGACATTGCTGGTGGGGCTACAAATTGGAACAGCCATTATGAAAACTGGGATGGAGCTGCCTCAAAAGTTTAAACATAGAAACGTATGTAGCAATTCCACTTCTGAGTATGTATCCAGAGGAAACATTATTTCCTGCTCTCATGTTCACAGCCTTATTCACAGTCGCCCAGGTATGGAAACAACCTAAATGCCCATCAACAAATGAGTGAATAAAAAATACATAGTATGTATACACAATGGAACATTCTTCAGTGTTACAAAAAGAAGGAAGTCCTGTCACTTTGACATTACAGATGAACCTTGAGGGCATGATGCTACGTGAAATAAAATGGACACAGAACGACGAATGCTCATGGTCTCATGTGTGGGATTTTAAACAGTGGTTCCCAGGGGCTTTGGGGGTTGGGAAGGGGCATATGTTGGTCAGAGGATACAGACTTTAGTTCCAAGAGGAGTAAGTTGTGGACACATAATGTACAGCATAGTGACCATAGTAATGCTGTATTGTGTACTTGAAATTTGTTAAAAGAGCAGATTTTAACTGTTCTTACCACACAGAGAAAATATGGTAACTAGCCAGGTGATAGATATCTTAATTACTTTGTGGTAATCATTCCACAGTGTCTATGTGTATTAAAACATCACATTGTGTACCCTAAATATATACAATTTTTATTGTCAGTCATACTCCCAAAAAGCTAGAAGTGACATTATAACCATTCTGAAGATGAGCAGTGTAAACTGGGTCTCACTGGACTAAAATCACAGGGTCTTTGGTGCCAAAATCCTTTCTGGAGACTCTAAGGGAGAATCCATATTCTTTTTTTTTTTTTTTTTAATGTTTTATTTATTTCTAGGAGAGAGAGAGAGAGAGAGAGAGACAGTGTGAGCAGGGGAGGGTCAGAGAGAGAGGGAGACACAGACTCTGAAATAGGCTCCAGGCTCTGAGCTGGCAGTCAGCACAGAGCACGACGCGGGGCTCGAACCCACGAACTGCGAGATCATGACCTAAGCGAAAGTCGGACGCTTAACCAACTAAGCCACCCAGGCACCCCAGGAGAATCCATATTCTTGCCTTTTTTGGATTCTAGAGTTTGCCCTCATTCCTTACCTCATGGCTTCTTTTTGTCTTCAGAGCCAGAAGGCTGGGCCGGTTTTTGTTTTGCCTTCATTCTGGTTCTGACTCTTCTGCCTCCCTCTTTCCTTTTGAAGAGCGCTCCCAATTACACAGGGCACACCAGACGTTTTGGGCTAACCTCATTATCGTGGAGTCCAGGGTCAGCCATGTCCCATAAGGTCCACATTTTCTGAGGCAAGGGTGTGGACATTTTGGGGGAGGGGACATAATTCTGCCTGCCACGTTCATGCATGCTTGACGTGACTGTGGGCTTTTTTTTTAATCATACATGTAGTATCACTTACAGGCTTAATAATAAGCTCTTGGAGAGATTGTTATTTTGTATCCATTTTTTCCCCTATGTAAATGTAATGAGTTGAATGTGTCTGGTTTTTCTTGTAGAAAAACCTTTTTTAAAAGTTGTGGTTTGCTAGACTGCGTTAATTTTGGGGGAGCAAAGCAGAGATGAACGATCTTGTTTATATTCTGTGCATCTCAATATGAAACAGCTTTTTATTTAAAGAGAAAGAAGTAATTAAAAGATGTCTAGCTAATCAAAGTTTATTAAGTTGTGAGATATGATTTCCATGTAAATGTGCCTGCTTTGCAACTCTTTAGTGAACTAGATAGAATTTTAAAAAACCAGAGGGGAAGGAAACAATATAAAGAGCCTGCCACACAGTACTTGATATTTTCACCTGTTTCCTTTTATGCTCACGGTTATCCTGAGTCTTCATTTGGGAATGAAACTGAAACTCAATTGAAAGTAAATTAACTTATCTAATGCATGGGGGAAAGGGTATTTTTAATAGAAAGTCATCAGTTCCGTAACTGGTTGAATATGAGTGTATTTTAACTCTTAAATAGCTCTTTTCTTTTTGCATGGAATTTTAATATGAAACTGCTTGCTGATTTCCGTTAGACGCTGACGCATCTATGCTTAGAATGGTACATCACATCTTGAGTATAGATACTTTATGCAAAGTCAGTTCCCATTAAAGAAAACAGAGTCTATTTCCTTCCAAGTGAAAATTTAGCAGAATAGAAGATTTCTATGCACAGTAGCAATAATCTACGTAACTTGCTTTGTTTGGAACTGTCAGTTCTGTCACCCCTGGGGCTTCCCTGTCCTTGAGCAGGGATTTTCCTTAACTGAGAAGTGGGTCCGGAAATGTCACACTGCCCTGTAGTCATTCTTCTCACCCTGACACTCCACGTTCAGTCCTTCCTTCCTGTCCTTCTGGTCACCTTCTGCATTTTCACGGGAACTAAAGAAGACAGTGGTGCCTTTTTTGTTAGCGCTGTGAACGCAGTGGTGGAGGGCATGACGTGCGGACCGTGGAAGGAGGAAGGAAGTTTGACTTTACTTCTTTTTTTTTTTAATGTTTAATTTATTTTCTGAGAGAGAGAGAGACAGAGTGAGCAGTGGAGGGGCAGAGAGAGAGGGAGACACAGAATCTGAAACAGGCTCCAGGCTCTGAGCCGTCAGCACAGAGCCTGACGCGGGGCTCGAACCCATGAACCGCGAGATCATGACCTGAGCCGAAGTCGGACACTTAGCTGACTGAGCCCCCCAGGCGCCCCGGCTTTACTTCTTGATCCCCCGTCTCTGCTGTGCACCACGCCCTGCTCTGTTGGAGAGAGCCGGCTCGGCCTTGGTCCCGCAGCCTCCGGGGGCGGGTGTTCTCGAGAACAAGGCGCGTGGATCTGGATCCTGGGACACCCTCCCAGCTGCTCCTGTCACGAGCCCTTCTTCAAACCACTTGTGTCCTCTCACTGTCATCTCACATTTCTAAAGCAGATCTGCTTTAATTTTAACCACAGCAAGTTGCACTGTTATTTTGCACCAAGCACAGTGTTACGTGGATTACACAAATCTCACCTTTTGTCATGACAGTACCTGTATGAGTGTAACTACCACTGTCATTTCATCTTGTAGACAAGGAAGCTTAAGGCCCAGAGGGGATGAGGAGCTCATCCCGGGGCTCAGGCCTGGAGTGGAGTCGGGGATGTGAATCCGAGCATCTAGACTGTGGTGCTCTATACGCTTTGTCGGTTACGGTCTCTACAGATAGGCTTTCCTACAGAAGATCACCCTCTTCCTGGAGTAATGGCCGGTTTAGGGCCATTAAAATGTAACTGCTAAGAATTTCCATCTGTGGCTTGCCTTTTCTTATCATAACAGTCTTAAAAAAAGTTTTAAGATTTTTGCCTAAGTGCAGTTTATTGATTTTTCTCTCCTAAAATTTTTGCTTTTTCTGTCCTATTTTAGAAGGCTTTGCCAAACTCAATGATACTAAGTTTTTATGCTTTGTTTTCTTTTACAAGGTTTATAGTTTCAGTGTGCATTTAGGTCTGTGGCTCATTTCAAGTTAACTTTTGTATCTGGTCTAAGGTCAAGGTTCTCGTGTCTAAATATGGTTATCCATCACCACGTATTGAGAAAGTTATTCTTTCCCGCATTGTTTGAAATAAATTGATTTCATGCATATGGGTCTGTCTGTGAATGCTTTATCCTGTTGCACTGATGTAAGTATGTATCCCCATGCCTGTACCACACCATCTTGATTACCCTTGCATTATAAGTTTCGAAATTTGGTGTAGTTAAGTCTCCTAAGTTTCTTTTTCAAAGGTGCTTGGCTGTTATAGGCCCTTTCCATTTCCGTATAAATTCTCAAATCAGCTTGTCAATTTCTGCGTAAAAGCTTGCTGGGTTTTTTACTTGGATTACATGGAATCTACAGATCCATCTGGAAAGAAATGATCTCACAACAGTATGGAATCTTTGGATCCAAAAGCACATGCGGTCTTTATTTAGGTCTTCCTTAACGTCTCTCAGCAGTGTTTCATAGTTTAGGAACATACAAGTTTACACATGTTCTGCAAAAGTTACTCACATTTACCAACATAAAGTCTTAACTTCCTATTTTTTGATGCTATTGTAAATGGCATTTTTAAAATTTTATTACATGCTGATAGCATGTAAACATATGGTTGATTTTTGTATATTGACTTTTTGTTCTATAACCTTGCTACACTTATTTATTATTATCTAGTAACATTAAAAAATAGTAATATTTCTTAGGATTTCCTACGTAGACAATCATGGCATTTGTGTTTAAATACAGTTTGGTTTCAGTCTTTTAGTCTGGATGCCTTTTGTCCCTTTGTCTTGCCTGGAGCGCCCCGGCCAGAATGTCTAGTGTAGCCTTGATCAGAACCGGCCAGAACCTCTAGTGTAGCCTTGACCGGAACCAGCCAGAACCTCTAGTGCAGCCTTGACCAGAACCGGTGGGAACGGGCCCCCCGGCTTTGTTCTCCGTCTGTGGTGAGAGCACCCGTTCTTTCCCCCCGTTCCTCGGGTCTCGGGCCCACCACCCACTCCAGTTTCCCTTGTTCTTCTCTTTCAGAACGTCTTGCTCTTTTTATCCACTGTCGTATAAGTGTAATTATATTTTTATTTGTATTTTAAGTTGATTTATTTCGAGTGAAACCGGGACAGTGTGAGCAGGGGAGGGACAGAGAGAGAGGGAGAAAGAGAATGCCAGGCAGGCTCTGCTGCCAGCATGGAGCCCGATGCGGGGCTCAAACTCACAAACTGTGAGATCGTGACCTGAGCCGAAACCAAGAGTCAGACACTTAACCAACTGAGCCACCCAGGTGCCCCTGCATAACTATATATTTTAAATTTTTATTTGCTTAGTGTGCTTTTTCCTCCCTTGTCTTCAAAGCCATATCTATTTCATTATCCTCTATGGTACCTGGCACATAATAATAGGTGCATAAGAGTTTTTTCTTGAATGAATCCTGAATGAATTGTTCATTCTTGCCTTCTTGCTGATCATCAGTATTGTTTTTAATTAAACATGTAAAGAGACAGAAAATAATAACCACTTGAATTATTAATAACCATTCAAATCATGAATCATTTTATTTTTAAATGCTTGAATGAAAAGCTAAAAACCATCAATAATTGCTTTCATGGCATTGAATACAAACTTTACTGATTTAAAATATATTCTCTTGATAGTGAATTTGTGGTTCTTGGAACTAATTCTAATTTTTTTGCTCTGTTTTTTCTTCTTACTGGACTATAATAAGTTCTTAATTTTTTTTCTTGATTTTACCCAATTTTCTACATTTTCTTGGTAGCTCTGGTTAGTCTTTATTATCAAATATTAGCATACATAGAAACCTATTAATTTCTAAGTTTGGCAAAGATAGTGGGCTCCAAAGACAGTTTATATGGATTAATAAAAAGTTTATATGTTTTCAGGGACGCTGAAAATGCAGAATTGTAGAGCCACCATTAATTCAAGTTTTTCACACAAAAGTTTGAAAGAGATTAATCATAAGTTTGTCTAATGAAAAAATTTGAACTGTCACAAAGGTTCGTGAAGTAGGAGGAGTTGTACGATCAGAATCAGTCAGAGAAGGGAATGTGTCTGTTCCAGGTATGGAGACGGACAGACAGCATTACCCAGGATCTGGTGAGGATGGATAATGAGCATAAGTTTCTTTCCTACTTACTCTCCTTCTATCCCTTTGTTTCCTGTATTCTGTTTGTACTTGAAAAGATTTGAAATGAATGCCTTGTTTTTGTCTTTTGGCTATCAATTAACCATGTTGGTGTAATTTTGTAACTCAGTTCTAAAGTTAGGAGTTTCTCCCAATATTGCACTGTATATTAACTAACTAGAATTTTTTTAAAAAATTGGAAAGTAAAAAAAGTTAGGAGTTTCTCATTGTATAGTTTTATAGTTTCTGTCTTTATTTTCCCAAAGCAGGAAAAAGTAAAAGCTCAGACTAATTGATTACGTAGTAGACATCCAGCTTCTTGTTTTATTTATAAGTACATTATTTCAGTTTATGAAACTGCTTATAAATTATCTAAGATGCATTAAGGGAGCTCTGCAAAATTAGAATACTATGGGAATCCTTTACAATGTGAATACTTAATATATTTTATATTGTGGAAATGTAGATAATGCCTCAAATGAGATGTGCTTTTATTATTGATACTTAGGGACACTGATGTCTAACACTTGCACCTTTTAAAAATGTCATTCTTCAGAATCTTAGGGAAAAAAAGCTCTTTAGGAGTTAGCATTTCATGGGCAAATTTTTAACTAGGGAATGTTAGTGTGTAATTAGAAACATGGTTAGATTCTTAATGATTGACCTGCCAGTGTATGTAGGACTCCATTTTAAATATAATCCGTGTTAAAACAATTACACTTTTTTTTTGCATATTGGTTGCTCTGCTTGAAATGAATCATATGTAAAATGAATATATATATTTTCCCACCATAGAAACTACTCCCTTAGCATTAATATGGTTGGCACTGGGAACTTAACAGCTAAAAAGCTCACACAAAACAAACCTTATTTCTTTATGCTTCACAGATGTATCTTGTGATTTTTCCAGAAGGAACAAGGTATAATCCAGAACTAACAAAAGTCATTTCAGCTAGTCAAACATTTGCTGCTAAAGAAGGTAAGTGAAAATTTGACAGTATTTGAAAAAATAATTTTTAAAGATACCTTTGTAGTTTTTGTTCCTGGAGAAGATAGTTATGTTTTACAACAATGGAAAAGAATAAATATATTCATTTCTTTGGTGAATGCATGTATTTACGATCTCTTAGGAAATGAAGTTTCTTCATTAATTCGTATGCATGTTATTACATATATCTGAAAGATTAAATTCGAGTGCTTGCTAAAATAGGTATTTCAGTGCCATGGATTTATTTCAAATCTGCCTAGGTGCCTGACTGTGTAGACGGTACCTTTTCCTTTGTTGTGGGTTCTGTGTAGTGAAAAGGATTTCTGTTCTGTGGGCTCACAGACCTGGGTTGGAATCCAAACTCTGACTTCTGCTCGCTGCGTGGTTGCACGTTGCCTCATGTCAGAAGGCTTGGTCTCCCCTCTCTTAAGAAACACATACCTCATGGGTATACCTAACTCAGCGTAGGAATGCAGTTAGCAGATATGTGAGGTTCCTGTTGGAGCCTATCACACAAAGTACTTGGAAGTCATTAATATCCCCGATAACAGGACTCTTTCCAGTGTCCTTATTTTATAACGTCGGATAACTAATACATCTACAAGCTACTCACTCGAACCAAATTGGTGGGACATAAACAGAAAACAGTGGCCATGCTGTGCTCTCAGAGTCGCCCTTGAAGATTGACTTAGTGTACGATCTCTGTACATTGATCACCGGACACTCAGTGAGCAAACGCCTTGTAGGTGACGTTACGCCAGGGTCTGTGCAGTGCCGTCTGGGAGGACTTGCCGCAGCGGCGGCGGGGTGCTCCCTCCGTCTGCTCTCACCAGCATGCTGGCTCCCGCCCGCGTGCGGTTTCATTTTGTTTGTGATCAGGAACAGAATTCTCGATACTTTCCTATTGACATTCTTTCCCTAGACTTCTGTAGGGTTTGTCTCCGTTTCCTTCTCCCTCTCTGGTGATTCCGGGTCAGTCTCCTTTCCAGCCGCCTCTTCAGCTTCATTCTCTCCTGTTTCATATGTTGTGGCTGTTGTCTGGTTGGTCTTCCATTCATTTCGTTTTCATGTTTGCTTGTGGGCTTCCTCCACATCTGTAGCTTTCGCCTCCATTTATCTGGTTGCTGGTGACTCACAGAAAGCTTTCTCCCACCACGTCTCTGTCTGACTTTAGACATATAGGTATAGTTGCCCAGTAGACAACCTCCCTCGACCAGTCAAAAGGCCAGACATGCTCACCATCACTCATCATGAGGGGCATACCAATCAAAACCACAAGGAGACGTCACCTCACACCTGTCAGGACAGCTAAAATCAGCAGCCCAGGAAACAACAGGTGTTGGTGAGGATGTGGAGAAAAGGAACCCTCATGTGCTACTGGTGGGAGTGCAAACTGCTGCAGCCGCTTGGGAGAACAGTGTGGTTAAAATAGTTAAAGATAGAACTAGAATTACCCTCTGATCCAGCAATTACATTACTAGGTGTTTACCCAGAAGATACGAAAATAATGACTCAGAGGGACACATGCACCCGTGTTTCTAGCAGCGCTTTCCACAACAGCCAGACTCTGGAGAGAGCCCACATGTCCACTGACTGATGAATGGATACAGAAGATGTGGTGTGTGTATATAATATATATATATATATCTATACACACACAATATATACATATTATATACATAGATAATGCAATGGAATATTATTCAGCCATCAAAAAGAATGAAATCTTGCCTTTTTGAGTGACACAGATACAGCCAGAGAGTATAATGCTAAGCAAACTAAGTCAGAGAAAGACAAATATGTCTTGGGATGTCTAATTCCACTCATATGTGGAATTTAATTTCATATGGAATGTCTTATTCCACTAATATGTAGAATTTAAGAAACAAATGAACAAAGTAGGGGAAAAGAGAGACAAACCAAGAAACAGACTCTTAGCTATAGAGAATAAACTGATTGTTACCAGAGGGGAGGTGGGTGGGGGAGTGGGTTAAAGAAGGTGATGGAGAGTAACAACTACACTTGTCATAATGAGCACCAGGTGATGTGTGAAAGTGTTGAGGCACTGTAATATACACCTGAAACTAATATAACACAGTGTGTTAACCAACTGAAATTAAAATAAAAACCTAAAAATAACAAGCTATCTCAAGGGAAAACAAAACATTAAAACATGCTAATGAAAGCATATTCTGTAACAGAACTCACAGATAGATGGCTTTTTTTTTTAAAAGAGAGTTTTATGTTCAGAAGTGTTTAGAGAATGTTGCATTTTCTTTCCTTCCCTTGGGGAGGTACAGTTCACATTTGTGTATTAGTCTCATAAAAGTGCTATTGTAAAGATGTCTGATTTTGTTTATAGTGCTGGGGTTTTTTTAATGTTTACTTTTTTTTTTTTAATGTTTTTTTTATTTATTTCTAGGAGAAAGAGACAGTGTGAGCAGGGGAGGGTCAGAGAGAGAGGGAGCTACAGACTGAAACAGGCTCCAGGCTCTGAGCTGGCAGTCAGCACAGAGCCCGACGCGGGGCTCGAACCCACGAACCGCGAGATCATGACCTAAGCGAAAGTCGGACGTTTAACCTACTAAGCCACCCAGGCGCCCTAATGTTTACTTATTTTTGAGATAGAGACAGAGCATGAGCAGAGGAGAGGCAGAGAGAGAGGAAGACACAGAATCCGAAGCAGGCTATCAGCATAGAACCCCTGCACGGGGCTCGAACTCATGAACCATGAGATAAGCTGAGCCGAAGTCGGACGCTCAACAGACTGAGCCACCCAGATGCCCCTACTGAACTGTTTTCTAATTTTCATATTTTAGAAAACAGTGCTCTAAAATTACTGAACAAAATTTGGGATTTTCATGGGGTAGATTCTTAGAGTTGCAGAAAATTCTGTCTCTCTAAAATTATTCCTTCTCTAAAGATTCTCGATGACTGAATTCTGACTTCAACAAAATGTATATTTTACTCTGAAACTTAAAATAGCTTATAGATGAGTCAGTGGTGGGATTCTTTTTGTGTGTGTATTGAGGGGGGAATTCTTGATTAACTTGAGTATAGACCTTAAACTATACAAATGTTCAACTACTCTTCCGTTTAGGATAGCCATTTTAATTCTGTTCTGGAACTAGTTTTGGATTAGATAAGGTGAAAGGAAAATAATAAATGGGGGCGGGGGGGACTTTTTCTCTTGCTACTTTTCATGTATAATGTAAAATTTGACATATTTCATTGTTACTAAATAATCGACTTCATCTTGAAACACTTGTGTTTTTGATGAGTGGAACAGAGCTGGCCTTGGGAGTTAGAGTGCTTTAGATGCTAGGCTCTGCTGGTTTTGGTTTTAAAACAGCACAATATTCTACCCTTAAATATTAACAAATTTTATTGAATTTCTAATATATAACACATTCCACTAAGGTGGTGGAACTAAGTCTGATGTTTTCTAGGAGTTTATAATTTAATAGAAGAAATGAAACAGGATTGTATTCATGGTCGATTGACATGTAACAAATTACCCCAAGCCCTCGCTTCTTCAAACAATAAACACTTATTATCTCACAGTTGATGGGGGCGGGAGTCCTGCCATAGTCTAGCCCGGAGACTGTTACAGGCTTCAGTCATTTCAGCACACACACACACCCCCCCCCGCCCAGGATCTGGTAAAAGCCCACTCATGTGCCTGTTGACAGGCCTCAGGTCCTCACTGGCCATTGGCTGGAGAGTCTGTTTCTTGTCACTTGGGTCTCTCCACTGAGCTCCTCAGGACGTGGCCGCTCACTCACCTCGATCACCGGAGCAGAGAGGGGTTGGGGAGAACGTGGAGGAGGTAGGATGGTAAGAGCGTGGAGTAGGGTTAGCAAGTCAGAAGCCACAGTCTTCCTGTAGCCGAATTTTGGGAGTAACGTCTCATCATTTTGCCATATTTTGTTAGAAGCACATCACTGGGTCCAGCCCACACTTCAAGGGAAGTACGTGGGAGTGTGACTGCTAGGAGGTGGGGACAGCGGGGGACCATTTTAGAGGCTGCCTCCCTCAGTGATGTTGAAATAAGATTTTTACACAGTTACATCATACCAGAGTAAGGTAAGGATGAGCAGTGTACACTGTAGGTTAAATTACTTCCAGATGTGGATTCAGCAAGGCTGCATGGAGGAGGAAACACTTGGGTTGGGCTGTGAAGAATTTCAGTAGGTAGAGTGGAGGAAGGGCTGGCCTTGGGTGGCAAGGAATGGGTGCACGAGGCGGAGAAGGGGGCTCTCCTCCCGAAAGAGCAGCGAGTACGGGGAGAAACTGTACTGTTGGTCACACGGGGAGGTCCTGCCCCGGACTCCGCAAGAGGAGCCCAGCTGAGGAGCAGGGATCCCCTCCAAACCCTGCAGCCTGCTCTTTTCCAACAGGCTTGCCCCTTGGAATGTGTGATGGGTGACGTCCTTCGTTTTAAATATGTTATGACAGACATAGCCCCAGACATTTTATTATATCTTGTCCCTGGGCAAATCTCCATGTGTTGAGGTAGAGTAAGTTTGCATGATAGAATGAGTATAACCCCGGATGACTGTGTGTGGGTGAAGAGTAACGTAGAATTCTTGTGTGGTGTAGTGTTCAAGGACTTCTGACTTCCTTTGTAAAATTTACCTGGGTGTGTGTGTGTGTTCCTCTTTGAATTGTGCCATACTGTTGGGTAAAACTAATGTTGATGTGGAAATAGATTTATTTACTGTGTAATAATTATTCAGAGTTGTAATCTCAGTCTGAGTTTTTGGGCCTTTGCTAATCCCCTTGGCCGCCGTGACAAGACAGCACGCTGGGGGCTTAGACCCTGATTTTCTCACACTTCTGAAGCCTGGATGTTTAAGATCAAGGTGCCCGCAGGGTTGGCTTCGGTGAGACTTCTCTTCCTAACTTACAGATAGCCACCTTCTTGCCGTGTCTTCAGGTGGCCGCCTCTATGCTCGCAGGGAGGTTTCTTTCTAGGAGGGGACTGGTCC